GAAGGCAAGAGCTGAGTATTCTTGTAGGGGCATACACAGAACAAATGGGGCTGGGAGGTGGAGCACAGCCCCTTCCCTTGGGGCCTCAGAGAGTGCACCTGTGGGTCACAGGTGAAGTGGTGTCTGACCACTGGCTCCCGGAAGGGGTGAAGGTCCAGAGAAATCAGAAGGCGGGGAAAGCAAGAGCATAAGGGGGTCTGGGAGGGACCACAGAGGAAGGTGGCAAAGCCGGGGCAGGGAAAGTCAGACTCACTGTGGCCTCCCGGCTCTCCAGGTCCTCTGGGACACTCGGCATAGGCCGAGGCACCCCCTCCTCCTCAGTTCAGATGTCCTCCTCCATCTCCTGTAGGGAGGTGGCCAGAGGGGTCCTCAGAAAACCCAACAAGGGAAGTATTGTGGGCCCACGTCTGTCCCCACCCTCACTGTGTAACCCTGAGCCAGCCCCTCCCCCAAGGGGAATGAGCTGCTGTTCTTTATTTTTCCTTTTAAGAACCAAGATCTTGCTATGTTGCCCAGGCACAGTCCTACTACCTGTCGGTGTGGGAGTTCTGACCTGCTCCCTTTCTGATCTGGGCCAGTTCACTCATCCTTAGGCGACCTGGTGGCCCCCTGCTCCCGGGAGGTCATCATATTGATGCCAAACTTCGTGCAGACACCTGGTTGGCATAACAACCAGCTGTTCTAAAGGTCTCTTCCAACCCCTCAACCCTATGCTGCTAACAGTCCCCCCTTCCTCCTGGGGCTCTCTCCTCTTGCTCTGAGTGGTCTCCTGTACCTTGTCCAGGGAGAGCCATGAGACTCAACTGGGTCTCTAGCTGTTGGTTCTCCTGGTTGGCAGCTTCTAGGTGCTCCTAAGGGGATGGAAAACAGAGTGAGAAGGCACAGAGGTTGCCAGGTCATCCCCTCGGGGCCCTGTCCTCAGCAACTCCCTCCCCTGGGTCTCCTGCAACTTTTGGCAGGCCATCTCAGCCACCGCTTTGCCCTGAGCTTCCTGCTGCTGCAGCTGGTCCATGAGCTGGGTCTGCAGCAGTAACTGCCTGTACGGCACCTCCTTCTCAGAGGTCAGCTGCTGATAGGTGGCCCCGTACTGCTGCAGGTGACCCAGGTACTAATCTCACTGCTGCTGCAGACTGTGAGATTCTTGGCTCTTCAGCTCCACCTGCAGGAAGACCCTGGGCATGAGGGCATGTGGTGGCTGACTTCCAGATTCTGGGCCCATTAATAGGGTAGCGAGGGCACAGTGGGGCTCTGCCACCTGCCCAGGCCCCTGACCCCTTGCTCCAGGCCTAAGAGACTTCCTCCCTTGCCTAGAACCACATGTTTCCTTCCCCAGCCTCAAATCTCATGTCCTTCTTCCCACTATTTAAACTGTAGGCCACAGACTGGTGGAAAAGCAGAAGGAGCCAACCACTGTCTGCTAAGTGTGCTCCATGCCTAACGCTTTCCATGTGTTCTCTCATTTAATCCTCAGCACCTCCATAAGAAAAATACTAACTTCCTTTTGAAGTTAAAGAAACAGAGATGAAAAGTAGTTGAATGGTGACCAGTGGAATCGAGGTTGGAATCCAGTTTGAATCTAAGGAGGCTTTTTTGTTTTATTTTGAGACAGAATGTCACCTTGTGGCCCAGGCTGGAGTGCAGTGGTGCAATCTCGACTCGCTGCAACCTCCACCTCCCAGGCTCAAGCAATTCTCGTGCCTCAGCCTCCTGAGTAGCTGAGATTACAAGCATGCGCCACCATGCCTGGCTAATTTGTTGTTGTTGTTATTTTAGTAGAGATGAGGTTTTGCAATTTTGGCCAGTTTGGTCTCAATCTCCTGACCTCAAGTAATGCTCCTGCCTCAGCCTCCCAAAGTGCTGGGATTATAGGCAGGAGTCACTGTGCCCGGCATAAGGAGCCTCTTGTTCCACTGTCTCTTCCTCTATGGTTGGGGTAATCCATGCCTTTAGCTCGGATGATGATGTCCAGACCTGGGAGGAGCCCAAGGCTACCCACCTGCAAAAGTCAGAGGGCAGGAAGAAAGAAACAGTCATGGAGCTGCCCTGGAGGTTGCTGCCATCACCTGCCCCCCAGCTGGAGTTGCCTTTGGCCTGGCACCTCCCCTCCCCAGAGGCTGGTGCCTGCCTCCCAGCCCTTCTTGGATGGGGCACAGGTTACCATTTCCTTCACCTTGATCAGCTTCTCCTGCAGCTGCTTTACTTGCTGTTCCAACTGCAGTGCGCTCTTGTTCTCATTGTTCTGGACAGAGAGAAGCAATCAGTGGCCAGCCACTGCAGCTGGAGACCCCAGAACTTGGTGTCTGCCTCCCATCTCACCGGGAAGGGTGGAGGCAAGTTAGAAAAATCATCCCCTCTCCCCCACAGCCATCAGAGCAGGGCCTGATGAGCTCTGGCTCACAGATACCTTTAGAAATACCATGTCATGTGAGGGCTACACTGCCTCATTTTACAGGTGGGGAAACAAAGGCCTGGAGGGCTAGGGATGAGGGCAGGCTCCCCAGGTGGGGCAACCCACCAGATCCTCAAAGCTGCACTGTGGCTCGGCCAGTTGCTTGTTGAACTTGTGGTTCTGGGAGAGCGCAAGCCTCTCCTCCTGCATTCGCAGCCTCTTCTCCTTCTCCCACAGCCTCTCCTCCTGCTTTCGTAGCCTCTCCTCCTTCTCCCACAGCCTCTCCTCCTGCTTTTGTAGCCTCTTCTCCTGCTTTTGTAGCCTCTCCTCCTGCTTTTGCAGCCTCTCACCCTGATCCCTAAGCCTCTTCTGCTGCCCCCGAAGCCTCTCCTTTTGCTCACACAGTCTCTCCTGCTCCTGAAGCCTCCTCTCCTCCTGCCCCCAGAGCCTCTCCTACTGCCCCCAGAGCCTCTCCTCCTGCCCCCGGAGTCTCTCCTCCTGCTCCTGGAGTCTCTCCTTTTGTTCTTTGCTCAGGAGACGCAAGGCCTGATTGTTTTCCATCTGGGATTGGAGCTTTCCCTCCAGACTTTCCACCTCCTGCCTCAGGTGTTTGGCCTCATCTTGTAGCTGTTCCACCTCAGATGTCCCTGCTGGGGGTGCTGAGGATGGAGGCTCAGCTGAGAAATGAAGCAGACAATAAGGGCCTGTGGATTCCCTCCAATCCCCCACACCCCCTGAAAAAATCCTCCTCTTGATGCAGCTCCTCTCAGGCTTCAGAAACTTGGCCTCACTGCTAATGATTCCTCACACCCGATGGTAGCCAATTTCCAAGCCATGTCAGATAGATAGCACTGTGGGTGGCTGACAATGGGCACTCCTCCCTCTTTGCTGATGGGGACCCTGAGGCTCATGGAGATGACCAGGCTTGCTGGCTGCTGACACAGACCACTTTCCCGCTGCCTCAAAGCCCTGCCATCCACCCACCTCCCTGGGGCATTCTAAGCCACCCCACAGCCTTCTGATGCCAGTCCTGCTCCCAGGTCACATCAGCCCCATCTTACCCATCTCGGTTTTGAGTTCGGAGAAGCTCCTGTCCAGCTCCTGTATCTGATATATGTCATGTTTCTTCTCCTCCTTCAATGTGCGAGCCTGCCCAAAGCACAGGGGTAAAGGGCCCTGGAGAGGGGGCTGGTGGCTGGACAAGCTACCATCTCCCTCTCTGCCCCCACCTCCACAAAGCCCAGATCCATGACCACCTCTGGCTGTACTATTCCCATTTTACAGATGCCCAGAAAGATCCAGTGACCCATCTAACGTGGGGCTGAAGGGTCAGGTCTCACCTCCATCGACATTTTCTGCATCCTCTCCTGCCACCGGACCCTCTCTCCTTTTATATGTTGAGTATATTCATCTCTCTCTAGCTGGACTTGTTTAAGTGACTCTGTCACCTGCAAGAATGGGCACAGAAGTGAGGAAGGGCTGTCACTGGTCCTCACCTGCTCCTGGCCAGCTAGGATCATCTTCCTTCCACATCCCTCCATCTGCAAAGCCTCACCTGTGTCACGTGTGCGTTCAGCAGCGTCCGCTCCTTTCTGGTCTGCTGTAACTGCCGCTGGAGGACTGCTTCACTGCGGCTCGAGGACTGGATGGTGAAGAGTGAGAAGTTTCAATTTGGGAAGCCTGGGCAGTGCCCCTTAAAAGGGCTAGGTCGGCCGGGCGCGGTGGCTCAAGCCTGTAATCCCAGCACTTTGGGAGGCCGAGATGGGTGGATCACGAGGTCAGGAGATCGAGACCATCCTGGTTAACACGGTGAAACCCCATCTCTACTAAAAATACAAAAAAAAAAAATTAGCCGGGCGTGGTGGCAGGCGCCTGTAGTCCCAGCTACTCGGGAGGCTGAGGCAGGAGAATGGTGTGAACCCAGGAGGCGGAGCTTGCAGTGAGCCGAGATAGTGCCACTGCACTCCAGCCTGGGCGACAGAGCAAGACTCCGCCTCAAAAAAAAAAAAAAAAAAAAAAAAAAAAAAAAAAAAAAAAAAAAAAAGGGCTAGGTCTAGCCTCAATATACAATTCGGTCAGTAAAGATCAAGACATTTCCAAGCCCGTGGCCTGGTTTTTAAAAGAACTCAGTAAAGTTGGAAGGGACAGGGAAAGAGATCGAACTTACAGCTCCTAACAGAGGCCCAGAGAGATCAGGTAACATTGCTGTTGTTATTACTGTTATTAATATCACTGTTTGAACCTTTATGGAGTGCTTCACCAGGTTCCATACTAGCAATCCCATGTAATCCTCACAACCACCATATGAGACAGCTACTAGGAAAACCCCTATTGTGCAGATGAAAAACGTCAAGTGTTCGAGGTTAAGGGCTTGCCTAAGATCACTCAGACCGAGCTGGGATTTGAATACCCAGGTCTATCCAATTATCTAAGCCCATTTTTCTTGCTGAGGGTGGGGGCACAGATAGCAAGGGGGAAATTAATCTTTTGTTCACTTTTTGAAAGGTTGATACATTCCCATAGTCCAAAACTCAGAAGGTACAGAAGGGAAGTGTCTCCCAGGCACCCTGTTACTCTCTGCTGAATTTTTTTCAAACCCTTGCAAACATGTTTTATGTACATTATCATAGTATGTACACACACACCTTTCCTCTCTCTACAGAAATGGTGACATACTAAAGGTATTCTTCTGTACCTTCACAGTACAAGTACCGAATATCCCACCTAGGACTTGGCCAAGACCACAGCCAGGTAAGGGCAGGGCAGGCACTTGGCCTCTGAGCTCTACGTCCAGTGCTCACTCCCCACAGTGCCCCCAACTCACCCACAGCAGCTGACTTAGCCCCAGGCTGCCTCTAACAACCATACACAAAAGCAGCAAGAAATGAGGATGTTGCCTTCTGGGCAGGACACTGCATCCTGCAGAAGGGACCTTTACACTCTCTCCTCCATCTGGGAAGCCAGGCTGCCAGGGACGGGACAGCTGGTTGGACTCACCCTGTCCTCTTCCTGCTGCTGTGTAGACACAACAGAGAGAGCCTGCTCCAATTCTTGAATACGCTGTAAAGAGTATTGAAGGTGGCCGGCCAGATCCTTGGACTCTTCTGTAATGACAGAGGTTGAGATGGGGCCCAAAGGACTCCCCCTAAAGACCTGTCAAAGTGCCAGGTTGAAGGATGAAGGGGTGCCCAGATTCCCACTTTCGAAGCATCTGGCGGCACGTTTAGTATGGTAAAGGGTGGTCTTCAAGTCTGCCTTTTCCAACGTGAGGATGTTGATTGTCTGAAATGGAATGTTTGGGGGAAAAGCCAAGCAAGTGCTGAAAGAGAAGGAAAGAAACATTCTCTGGAGGACAGGAGAAAACTCCCCACCCTCCACTCACCTCTAACTGCTCCGTCTGTGCTTTGTGTATTTCACAGCAATGCCCAGTGGCACGTGCTGTTTCATTGTTGCTCTTTCCTGGGAGGGAGAGACAGGGCTCTTACCACGGGGGGCAGGGTGGCACAGCAGAGACATGCCCCCAGAATGCCACGAAGAGGAAGACAGAGCTCTTACCACGGGGAGGCAGAGATGGCACAGCAAGAGACATGCCCCCAGAATGCCACCAGTGCCCCAGCACAGGCCCACCCATGGGACCAGGTTATCAGGGACCCTGTGGGGATGTGGTGGAATCTGAGGGATGAGCCTTCTTTCCCAGGCTGGGAGTGGGTGAGACGAGACTGGGGCCTCTACATCTGAGTGCCCCCCAAACCCAGCAGTCATGTTGTGAGCAAACAAAGAAATCACGTTACTTTTTCCAGCTGATGTTCCACTTGTTTCTTCTGTTGTTTCTGTGGGGAGAGTCAAATTCAGGTGACTGAGGGGGGCCCCCTCAACTCTATTCCCCAGACCAGGAAGCGGTAGGCAGGGACCAGGAATGGATTTTAAAGGCAATGTTCTCAGACCCAATGGCAACACGAATGGGTCAACTGTCCTCAAGCTGGCAAGGACAGAGGATTTGGGTCTTTGTTGGTTTTTGCCCACAGCCACAGAACTCAAAGTCTGAACCTGGATTCTCTCGAAAGGGCAGTAACATAAACCTCTGGAGACGGAGTCTGAGAAAGGCCCACCCTTCTGCCAGCTTGTGATTGAGGAAGGTGCATTCATTCAACAAACATTTACTGAGCACGTACAAGCCAGGTACAGTTCTTCACAGCAGATATAGGACAGAAAAGGACAGACAGGAGCCCTTGGCCCTGAGGTTTCCATTCTAAGGGCCTTTAAATCTCAAACTTTAAGAGCTAACATATTTTGATGCTCTACCTCCTCTGGAAACAGGAGCCCAAGGAGGAGAGGTGGCTTGTCCAGACTCAAAGAGCAAATTAGGGACTGAGTCATGGCAGAAATACAGGACCCCTGACAAACCAGCAGGCTAGCGCTTCCCTGAGAGGAGAAAACCCCAGGGTGTGTGTGGCAAGGACCGGAGCAGGGGTGTCTGGAGAAGAGAGAGTTGGCAAAGGGGCAGTGACAGAAGAGCCATGCTGCATGCTCCTTGCTCTGGGGTCCCTCCAGGTGAGGCCGGGGTGCTCCAGCTCCCCATTTGCCCTTGGCACCAGGGGCCCCAGCCCCTTTCTTCAGAGCCCCAAGGGAAAACTAAAGCCCAGGATTGGCAGCGTGGAATCACAGGACCCCACTGGACTCTTACCAGTGATTCTATGTTTTCATAGAGTTGATTGATTGTTGCGGAGCTTGAGTCCAGGGCTACTTCCAGTTCTTGGTTTCGGCTCTGAGGCGCATGCAGAGAGGAGCAGTTGGAGGAGGATTGTGGGAAGAGGTAGAGAGAACAATCATTAGGGCTGAGGTGTGCGTGGGCTGTCTCAGCTGGCAGAGGGGCACCCAGCCCCCACTGTGAGAGGAAGTTGGAGGGCTGGTCTGCAGGGTCACTGCACGTCAGCCCAGGGTCTCTTACTTCCAGATCCTTCAGGGTAGCAGATGATGCAGGAGTAATAAAAATTAGAAATTAAAAAAAAAAACAAACAAACCAAAGACTGACATGGGACACAATTATGGATATAGACAAAATATATAAACAGCAAGGCGCCAGGCACGGTGGCTCACACGTGTAATCTCAGTACTTTGGGAGGCTGAGGCTGGTGGATCACTTGAGGTCAAGAGTTCAAGGCCAGCCTGGCTGACATGGTGAAACCCTGTCTCTACTAAAAATACAAAGATTAGCTGCACGTGGTGGCAGGTGCATTTAATACCAGGTACTCAGGAGGCTAAGGCAAGAGAATCACTTGAACCCAGGAGGCAGAGGTTGCAGTAAGCCGATATTGCACCATTCCACTCCACTCCAGTCTGGGTGAGAGAGTGAGACTCTGTCACAAAAACAAAACAAAACAAAACAAAACAAAACAAAAAAGGCCCCAAATCCCACATGCCTGCTCCATACTTTATTCCCAAGTTACTTTTAAACTTTAAGGTCTCACCATTTCCAAGATGATAAAAGATGCGGGGAAGGAAAAAACCCAATCAATCAAGCAGGTGAAGAAGCAGACATAAACAGAATGAAGGTTAATGGCAGCAACATAAAACAAGGCAGAGGCAAAGTATCTCCTAAACCAGAGAAGCCTCAGGGGCATGCACAGCTGGAGAGAGCAAGCCAGAGAGGGGTCCTGGCACTGCCTCACCTTCCACTTGTGCAATGGAGGAGCGCTACCCACTGGAATGGTTAAGGTTGGACACCAGCACCTTCAGAATGTCCTGAATCTACAGGAGGTGACAAGGGAAAAACAAAGGCAGGGGGAGAAAGACAGAAGTGGCTTAGAGAGAAACAAAAAAGTCAGGGTAGGAGGAAGATGTGGGTTGAGGAAAACAAAATGCTAAGAAGGGCAGAGGAGATTGAAACCATGGCCTGTGCCATTCTCCCAAATGGCCACCTGCTGCCTTGCCAAGGGCAGAAAAAAATAGATGGAAATGTCCCCTGAGTGATGCAGTCACAGAGTGGAGAAACCTGACCAACGCAGCTCTTAATATGCTCACTGGACCCCTCTCCTCAAGCCCAGGATGTGGACGATGAATCTGGTAGAGCTCCAGACCTCCACTTCTATTAAAAACACCAGACTCCTGAGTAAGGGTTCACTTGAACTAAGGGGGCTCCAGCTGAAAAACAAGTTTGAAAGGTACTGATCTTGTCCAGTATCGTCTACAGAGGAAGAAACTGAGGCCAGGGGAAGAAGTGATTTTTCTGTGGTCACCCAGCAAGCTGGTGGCAAGTTAGATCCTCTCTTACTCCTAGTGCCTGGGGCTTTCCTCACCACACACTGGCCCTCCTTCTGTGACTCCTAAAGGGACAGTCTGATGGCAAGTGGCTGTACACACTGTCCCAGCTTCCCCTTGAGAATGGAGGCTGCAGTGAGCCATGATGGCGCCACTGTACTCCATCCAGCCTGAGGAATGGAATGAGACCATCTCAAAAAAAAAAAAAAAAAAAAAAGTCTGGGCGCAGTGGCTCACGCCTATAATCCTAGCACTTTGGGAGGCTGAGGCAGGCAGATCACCTGAGGTCAGGAATTGGAGACCAGCCTGGCCAACATGGCAAAACCCGTCTCTACTAAAAAAAAGAAAAAAAAAATTAGCTGGGTCTGGTGGCGGGTACCTGTAATCCCAGCTACTCGGGAGGCTGAGGCACAATCGCTTGAACCCAGGAGGTGGAGGTTGCAGTGAGCCAAGATCGCACCACTACATTACAGTCAGCCCATGCAACAGGGTGAGACTCCATCTCAAAAAAATAATAATAATAATAATAAGAATGGTTCAACTTTCATTTCATCCAATCGATAGGTTAAAGAAGAGAAAAATGGACAGATTTGGAAAACCATTTTTTATTTGAAAAGAGAAAATTAGGAACAGATGAAAACTGTCTTAAGAGTATTTGAAAAACAAAACAGCAAATTTAACATCAGACAGACAAAATATTTAAATTGAGAAATAAAGTTAAGAGGTGGGTGGCATGCCCTCTTACTATCATACTGTAGTATTGTTTCATAGATGCTTGTTTTACCATTAAAGATTGACTATTTAGAGCCTTGGCTCTCACACATTAGAGTGCATCATCATCCCCTGCAGGGCTTGTGAAACCAGCTGCTGGGCCCCACACCAGAGTTTCTAACTCAGTAGGACTGAGGAGGGCCTGAGCATTGCATGTCTATGTTCCCAGGTGACGTTGATGCTTCCAATTAGAGACCGTGCTTTGAAAACCACTAGTGTAGGGAAATATACTAGAGAATATGTTATGAATATACTGGAGAATATGTATATATGTTAACTTACAAATTTCTGTTCAGCAGAAAAGACAACTCCCAAAGATGACATTTTTAAGTCCCAATATGATTTTTTTTTTTTTTTTTAAGTCCGAATCTCTCTCTGTCACCTAGGCTGGAGTGCAGTGGCATGATTTTGGCTCACTGCAACCTCCACCTCCCAGGTTGAAGCGATTCTCCTGCCTCAGCCTCCCAAGTTGCTGGGACTACAAGCGCCCAGCACTGCACCTGGCTAATTTTTGTATTTTTTGTAGAGACAGGGTTTCACCATGTTGGCTAGTCTGGTCTTGAACTCCTGACCTCAGGTGATCCACTCACCTCGGCCTCCCAAAGTGCTGTGATTACAGGCATGAGCCACCATGCCTGGTCTCCCTAGAGGATATTAACAAGTTTTGGCTCTATCTCAGAATGCATTTCGGAATGCCCTTCCTGGAGCGCTACAGACACTGTCTTTCAAAATGCTCCTTTACTAGCTTCATCGTGTTGCTGACTCCCTTGGAAATCAAAGAAAATATCTTATACGTATTCCTTCATTATCTGTATGAAAGTCAAGCTTTTCACATTGTGAAAATGATACTTCAGGCTGGGTGCAGTTGCTCACGCCTGTAATCCCAGCACTTCGGGAGGCCAAAGTGGCAGGATCACTTGAGGCCAGGAGTTTGACACCAGCCTGGCCAATATGTCGAACCCCATGTGTACTAAAAAAAAAAAAAAAATCAAGATTAGCTGGGCGTGGTGGCACACACCTGTAGTTCCAGCTACTTGGGAGGCAGAGGCACAAGAATTGCTTGAACCCAGGAGGCGGAGGTTGCCTTGAGCTGAGCTCATGCCACTGAACTCCAGCCAGAGCCAGAGCGAGACTCTGTCTCAAAGAAAAAAGAAAGAAAGAAAAAAATTATACTTTGATACAATATGCTAATATAAAGGATATGATATGGTTTGGCTTTGTGTCCCCATCCAGGTCTCACCTTGAATTGCAATAATCCCCATGTTTCAAAGGTGGGACCAGGTGGAGATAATTGAATCATGGGGGCAGTTTCTCCCATGCTGTTCTCATGATAGTAAGTGAGTTCTCATGAGATTTGATGGTTTTAATTATGGGCATTCCCCTTTGCTTTGCTCTCCTTCTCTCTCCTGCTGCCCTGTGAAGAGGTGTTTTCTGCCATAATTGTAAGTTTCCTGAGGCCCCCCCCCAGCCATGCAGAACTGTGAGTCAATTTAAACCTCTTTTCTTTATAAATTACCTAGTCTTGGGTATTTCTTCATAGCAGCGTGAGAATGGACTAATACAGTATACTAATAACAGCCCAGACAGTAGTACGCAGGTACTACTATACTTTGATGCTAGAGGTATTCCCATTAAGCTCAGGAGCAGTATGTGCTATCATTACCATGATCTAACATTGTTTCACAGGTTTTTAGGTCAGCAGTTCTCAACTGGAGGTGATTTTGCCTCCCTGGGGATATTTGACAATATCTGGAATCATTTTGGCCATCATACTGAGGAGTGCTATTGGTATGTAGCAGGTAGAGGCTGGGGATGTTGCTAAACATCCTGCGAGGCACAAACAGCTCCATAACAAAGAATTATCCAGCCCAAAACGTCAATAATGCAGCTGTTGAGAAACCCTAGTCTAGACAAATAAAAATGGGAAATCCATTAACATAAATGTGGAAAATAATAAACTAGTATTTGCCAATGACAGTCTAACTAGGAGGTCCAAAAGAAGCACCTGAAGAATGGTGAGATTTTGCAGGGGCTGCATGGTGGCTCATGCCTGTAACCCCAGTGCATTGTGAGGTAGCATTGGGAGGATCTCTTGAGGCCAAGAGTTCAAGACCAGCCTGGGCAACATAGACCATATCTCTACCAAAATTTAAAACATCAGCCAGATGTGGTGGTGCGCTCTGAGAGTCCCAATTGCTGAGGTGGGAGTGTCACTTGAACCCATGTGTTGGAGGCTACGGTGAGCTGTGATCATGCCACTGTACTCAAAAACATTTTTTTTGAGATAGGGTTGTTCTCCGTTGCATATGGGGTCTTGCTGTGTTGCCCAGACTGGTCTCAAACTCCTGGCCTCAAGCAGTCTTCCTTCCTTAGCCCCCGAAAGTGTTGAGATTACAGGCATGAGCCACTCCCCATGGCCTTACAAAATAAAAAGAAAAAAACAAAGAAGGTACAGGATGTTATGTGGACCATTGAAAGATGTTGGAAAACAGTTGTGCATGTGACCCCGCTGTAACCAGTTGTAAAAGTATCCGGATTAAGAAATGTGCTGTGTGTGGCTTTCCCAAGTTTAGGTTCCTGCTGAAACAATGAGGTGGACCTTTTCTTCCTCCCCTCCTCACCTCCCTGCAAGAACCAGGACTGTGCATTTTGACGGGCAGGCTCTTACCTCTGGCAGGCCATGGGGGCATGCAGAGCCTTTCCGTGTGTGTTTTCTGGGCACTCGGATAAAAACCCCCTGTCCAGGCCTTTGTTTAGGATATGTGGCCCATAGAGGAATGAGGCTGGAATCACCTGGGAGGGACAGAGGCTTTGACTGGAAGGAGGAGTGACCTGAACTCCAGGTTCTGCGCCTACACTTTGTTCTCCTGCAGCACCCTGTTAGAGGTGACTGGGGCCTGGAAGTCAGAGGCCTTGGTGGCCAAGTGTTGGGTGGACAGGAGGAGCTGAGGGAGGTGAGGGGCATTTCTCCAGCACTGCCCCCCACCCTGTCCCCAAATCAATGCCCTCTGATGGCTCAGACACAGCCCCGGCCAGCAGCAGCGCAGGTCAGGAAGGACGAATGCACTCAGCACGGATCTGCTCCACAGTCTCCGCCTCACTTCATCTCGGGTTGTGGGGAGTGAGTCCCCGCACACTGATGATATGCTGTCAGCTGAGAATGTTCAGCTTGATTTAGAAAGATAAGGCGGGACATCTCTTGGGCATGGCGTGTGGAGCAATGTCATCCCTCTGTGGCAGCGAACCAAGCAATAAACCAGAATGTGCGAAACCTGCATCCCAGAATCACTATTCCCAGAGGGAAAGCCTATATTGTCAAGATGCCCACAGCTAAATTAGCCCAAACATTCCACCCAGCCTCGAAAACCAGTAGAACTTTGACATTAATATACTAACCCTCAGGTCTTTACAGAAATGTGTAAGAATAGCCACATACTGTAACGTGCGGTCATTGAGAGGGAGGAGCCCGTCAGAACAAATGGAACCAAGTCCAGAAACATGTCTGTCTAGGCGCAGGATGTCAGCCTGTGTGTCAGCCAGGGAAGCAGACCAGGAAGAGATATGTATTAAGATTTAAAATGGGCTCTGTAGCTCAGACCTATAATTACTATACTTTGTGAGGCTGAGGTGGAGGATCACTTGGGCCCAGGAGTTTGAGGCTACAGTGAGCTGTGATCATGCCACCCAATTGCAGCCTGGAGACAGAGCAAGAGTCCGTCTCAAAAAAAAAGTGCTTAGATGCGCCCTTACATGAAGCTACCTTGGGTACAGCTTCCAAGACTGGTGAGGCCTCATTCAGGACCAGGGGGCCCAGCCCTAGCTCAGCTTCTACCACCTCAGTGGCACCTGGAGGAGGTGGTCACAATGTTTTCAGTCCAGGCTCTGTCGGGTCTCAGATCCCCCGATCATCAGGCCTTTTCTGCCCAAGCTCTGCCTCACTATGGCCTCCACTGACCGCAGCCTCTTCCACCTCCCCAAAGGGACCCCTGCTCATGCTCCCCAGCCAGCAGGAGCACCTGCGTCTCCAGGAAGCCCACCCTGCTGGCTCTGGGCTCTATGTAGGAGAGCTGGGGGCGGGAGGGCTGGATCCCACCACTGAGTTCAGTCTCGGGGGTCTCCACCCATGCTAGGCTTCCACTGATGGGACATAAGTGGGATCCTTTACATCCACACAAGAGCCCCATGGTGACCAGAAATGGGGTTCTGAGAGGTTAAATGACTTGCCCAGGGCCCCAGAACTGGCTAGAATTCCTGCATTGCCACATCCAAGGCCATGTTTGGGCCTCCCACTTGGGGGCCCAGACACCCCTCTGCATCTACCAGGCTGGGAAACACATGTCTGCCGCAGTTTCCTCCCAGTGACTTACAGCAGCTGCAGATTTCTGGGGGTCTTCTACAAGGCCCACTGCAGCGGGGAGCCGAGAACTCTTACAGAGCCCTGTGTTCTCCCTCCACCCGCTTCAGCTCCGAACTCATACTAGCTGGTCTGATGTGACAACAGGCTGTGGTGAGGGAGTTGGGGCTCTCTCTGGTCAGTAGCCCAGGCCTCCAGGAATCAGGTGATGTCGATCTGGAGAGAAGGTGACTGCTGGAGGGACTAGGAGGAGCAAGCCTGGCCCAGGGCCCTGGCCTCCCGCTGGGGCATCCCCCTCGTCCTTCCCAGGGTCCCCTGATAATCCGAAGGCATCCAGGGTAAAGCGCAGTGTTCAGCTGTGTCCTGGGGTCCAGGAAAGCCAAGGAGAAGTTGCTCTATGTGCTGTCCACCAGGCACCCCGGCAGAGAACAGCCTCAGCCCACTCCATCCTAACACCAGATCCCAGGGACTGACCCACCTGTAAGAGGGCAGCATGAGACTGCCCCCATTGTCCCCAGAGAGTCCCCTCAGTCATGGGCTCCGACCAGGGTGCAGCATGGGTGTGGCTGCCCATTGGTCCTCTGAAGAGCCTCAGGGGCTTGTGGCAGCCAATGTGTGTCTGGGCTTGGAAGTAGAGGAGGGCAGGGGACACTTGTTTTGTATTCAAGTCCTCTGTAAGGACAGGGACCCCAGGCTCTGGGCACCCCAGCTCTGCCTGCTCCTACCCACAGCCAACCACCATTTGGCCCAGGCAAGTCACCCCGGCTCCCACAGAGGGAGCCACCCTCCCCACCTCCTGATATTTGCCTGCACCAGTCAAGTTCCATTCTGGAAAAAACCCTCCACATCCTTGGGAAGGCACCTCGTCCTTAGCTCCTTTCCAGAGCTGTCATCCCCACTTCCATTTTCTACCTATCATTCTATACAGAGACCAGCTTCTTCCCTGGGCCAGGGCTGTTCTGGAGGCAGGGAGGTTGTGGTCAGGCCATCGGGTGTAGCAGAGCACCTGGTATAGACCACACTTTCCAGGCACACCTGGGCAGAGAAGTCAGAGACCTACAGGTGAATGCCCCTCCTTCCAGCCCCACCCACCACACAGGCAGAAAGAGGGAGGCTTCACAAGGAGGCTGAGGTAAACAGGGGAGCCTGGGTCACCTCTGTCTGATCTCCTGCCCTCCTGGGAGAAAGCCAGAGGCTGGAGTTGGGAGGTGTCGAGAGTCCTGGCCCAGCCCTGGTTTCACTGATGAGGCTCAAGGAGGGGCTGGGTCAGCCCAAGTCACTGAGTCCATAGGGGAGGGTTCTGAACATAACCCAGGACCCTAGAGCTAGCTGAGGTCCCATCCCTTTCCCACGTAGACCAAGGTAGGGGCATGAGCTGGCTGCTTCTGGCTTCTAAGGCCGAGGCTCAGCTCACCTCTCCCTCCCCTTGCCTGCAGCTGTTGTCACACATCAAAAGTGAGTTTTCCCCGAGGGGGGAGGCGCAGCTCCCTGGACTGGACCAGATGGCCAATCCAAACAAGTCCCTGTGCGTCCCCACCAGCCAGGAATTCTCACACCACACAGCAGCTGGAGGCACCAGGATACCCGGGGGGATTCCAGGGATGAGCCCTCCCCGAGGCTTCCACAGCAGCACTGCTGCCCCCAGACCTTCCACAAGCCCCATGTCCACCCAGCCTTCGAGAACCTGGCCCCTCACACATACCTGCCCCGCTCCTCACACCTGGCTTTCCTGTGAAAATTGGAACCGGTTCCACCTGGGCCAGCTGGAGAAGGACCTCAGGAAATCATGATTTTGGGGATTCATTCCAATCATTCATTCATTCATTCACCAAATACCCACTGTCCACCTTTCTGTACCAGGCCAGGGGTGATGGTCAAGCGGAACACATGTCCCAAGGAGCTTTCCTCTCTTTAGAGACAGACAGGCGGACTCTCACACCATGAGGTGCCCTCTGGGTTAGGGGGTACCCAGGGCTGGATGCAGGTCAGGGCATCACCCACAGTTGGTGAGGGTGGGTGTGGACGTGGAGGCAACTATGGGGTGAGGGTGTCCAGACATAGGCCCTAGCATGTGCCCAGGCCCAGGGTGTGACCTGGGGCAGGTATGGGGCTGCTTTATCTGGAAGGTTTCCTGACTCTGCCAACAATGGGCCGTGGCTGTATCAGGCTTCATGTTGATTTTTAATATTATATTTAATACATTTTGATTATGTAACTACATATGATTATTGTGATAAAGTTATGAAATACAGAAAAGTTAAAAACACAAACCAACAAACCCCTTGTCTCCCTAAATAACTGCTTCAAAAGTATTCTTGGACTTTTTTCCCATGTATCTGCAGCTATAAACATAAGCTGCCCAAGATAGTATCCTTCCCCATATTCTGTTTTGGAGCTGGAGTTTTCACCCAGCAGTGAATAGAGGCAGACTTTAAACAGGCCAGGCACTGTGAGGGCCCTGGGAGAGGAGACTGACCATGTTGCTGGGTGACCTTGGGCAAGTCTCGCCCTCCTCAGAGCCCGGATTTTCTCAGTCCAGTGAAGGGCAGGAAGGGCTGTGGTAGGACTGCATCAGCGCTTCCCAAACTCAGAACCACCATGTGGAACTGTGTGAGCTGTCACTGCACAGCCCCAGGGACAGGAGCATTCTTGTCATAGCCTCTGTGGGTGGGGCTTCTGCCCAAAAGTGTGCTGTGCAACCCTGGGGCCCACAGGAGGATTTCAGGTGATATGCAGATGCATTTATTTTTACCATTACCTTCTATTTGTAGTAAATGAGACCGATTCTCACCGGGAGGGCTTGTTAACCCACAGATCACTGAACCCACACATCAGAGGTTCTGATTCAGGAGGTCTGGGGTGGTGCCTGAGAATCTGCATTTCTAACAAGTTCTCAGGTGATGGTGATGCTGATGCTGCTGGCTCAGGGACCACACTTTGAGAACCACTAACCACAAATTTCCTTTTATTTATTTATTTAAGGCGAGGTTTTTGTCTGTCACCCAGGCTGGAGTATAATGGTACAATCATGGCTCATGGCAGCCTCGACCTCCCAGGCTCAAGCAATCCTCCTGCCTCACTTCCCGAGTAGCTCAAACCATAGGTGCACGCCACCATGCCGGACATTTTTTTGTTTTTTGTAGAGATGGAGTTCCACTATGTTGTTCAGGCTGGTCTTGAACTCCTGGGCTTGAGCAATTCACATGCCTTGGCCTCCTAAAGCAAAAGTTTCTTTTTAAATATGTTTATTTAGGTTTTAAAAATGAGTTGACTTAAAGCACAGGAATAGATCTTCAACACCAACCACTGGGGAAATGCAAATTAAAACCACAGTAAGATATCACTGCATGTCTATTAAAACAGCTCAAATCAAACATAGTGATAATATCAAATATTGGCAAGGATGCAGACAAAACTCACTCTCTCATACATCGCTGGTGGGAATATAAAACGGTACAGACACTCTAGAAAATAGTTTGGCAGCTTCTTTAATTAAACATACACCTTAATATATGACCCAGGAATTGCTTCTGGGCATTTGTACCAGAAAATAAAACTAATGTGTGCACAAAACCTCACACATGATTGTTCACAGCAGATTTATTTGTAATAGCCCCAAACTGGGAACAACCAAATACCCCCCAATAGGTGAATGGTTAAGCAAACTGATACATCCATTCTATGAAATACTATTCAACAATAAAAAGGGGGCCAGGAATGGTGGCTCACACCTGTATTCCCAACACTTTGGGAGGCCAAGGTGAGCAGATCACTTGAGGTCAGGAGTTCGAGACCAGCTTGGCCAACATGGTAAAAACCTGCCTCTACTTTAAAAAAAAAAAAAAAAAGTCTGGGTGTGGTGTCTCTAACCTGTAATCCCAGCACTTTGGGAACCTGAGGCAGGTGGATCACCTGAGGTCAGGAGTTCGAGAGCAGCCTGGCCAACATAGTGATAACCCATCTCTACTAAAAATACAAAAAAATTAGCCAGGCATGGTAGCAGGCATCTATAATCCCAGCTCCTTGGGAGGCTGAGGCAGGAGAATCACTTGAATCCAGGAGGCAGAGGTTGCAGTGAACCGAGATCGTGCCATTGCACTCCACTGTGGGCAACAAGAGTGAAACTTTGTCTCAAAAAAAAAAAAAAAAAAAAAATACCGGGCGTGTTGGTGGGTGCCTATAATCCCAGCTATTCGGGAGTCTGAGGCAGGAGAATCACTTGAACCCAAGAGGTGGAGGTTGCAGTGAGCTGAGATCACACCAGTGCACTCCAGCTTGGACAACAGAGTGAGACTCCATCTCAAAAACAAACAAACAAACAAACAAACAAACAAAAAACCAGTAAAACAATAAAAACAAACATGCACAACTTGGATGGATCTCAAAGGGCATTTGCTGAGTAGGAAAAAAAGGTAATCTCAAAAGGCCACATACTGTGTGATTCCATTTATATAATGTTCTTTTTTTGTTTGGTTTTTGTTTTGTTTTTGACACAAAGTCTCAGTCTGGCCCTACTGGAGTGCAGTGGTGCTATCTCGGCTCACTGCAGCCTCCACCTCCTGGGTTCAAGTAAGTCTTGTGCCTCAGCCTCCCGAGTAGCTGGGAGTACAGGCATGCACCATCATACCTGACTAATTTTTGTATTTTTAGTAGAGACAGAGTTTTGCCATATTGGCTAGGCTGGTCTTGAACTCCTGGCCTCAGCTGATCCACCCACATCTGCCTCCCAAAGTGCTGGGATTATAGGTGTGAGCCACCATGCCAGGCCTTCATTCATTCATTAATTCATTCATTGAGACAGAGTCTCACCCTGTCTCTCAGGCTGGACTGCAGTGGCAGGATCACTGTAGCCTCCACCCCCCAGGTTCAAGTGATTTTCCTGCCTTAGCCTCCATGTAGCTGGAACTACAAGCTTGTGCCACCATGCCTGGTTAATTTTTGCATTTTATAATGTTCTTGAAGTGACAAGATTATAAAGACAGAAAGCAGATTAGTGTTTGCCATGGGTAGGAATAATGGAGGGGAAGAGCCAGGAACGAGTGCAGAAGAATAGCAGGAGGTAGATTTTCGTGGTAGTGGAACAGTTCTGTATCTTGATTGTAGTGGTGGTTAAGGGAGTCTACATATGTGATAAAATGGCATAGACCTAGACATGTGACGTTGTTAGATTTTGTTCTACACTAATATAAAATAGAACCTTTGGAGGAAGCTGAGTGAGGAGTCCATGAAACCTCTCTGTACCATCTTTGAAATTTCCTCTGAATCTATATTTCCAAATAAAAGGTTAAAATTTTTAAAGTTGCTTTAGATAAAAAATATTAAATAAAAATAATATTGATTGTATGCAAGTCTGGCAAACCTTTGACACATTGAATGACAGGCATCTCGAACCCATCCAAGGCACAACTGCCCCTGGCCAGGCCCTGTTCTAGGCTAAGTCACTTGCTGGAAGGTAGGACTCTGGACTCTCTCCTGCTTGGCTTTGGGGTAGAGATGCCAGATAAAGTATAGGATGCCCAGTTAAATTTAGATTTCTGCTAGCAAATAATTATTTAGTAAGTACGTACCATGCATATTTAGGACATATTTATACTAAAAATTAATTCTCTAAATTCTCTTTTAACCATCTTCACCAAGTGTTGATATTTCTCTAAATTCTTTAAAGTATGTATGTAGTTACTTTAAAGTTCTTGCCTGCTAATTCCACAGTGTGAGCCATTTATGGGTCTGCTTTTTTTTTCTTTTTTTAAATGGAGTTTTGCTCCTGTAGAGGCTGGAGTACAATGGCGCCATCTCGGCTCATTGCAACCTCTGCCTCCCAGGTTCAAGCAATTCTCCTACCTTAGCCTCCCGAGCAGACGAAACTACTGGTGCACATTACCACATCCAGCTAATTTTTGTATTTTTAGTAGAGATGGGGTTTCACCATGTTGGCAAGGATGGTCTTGAACCCCTGACCTCAGGTGATCCACCCACCTCAGCCTCCTAAAGTGCTGGAATTACAGATTTGAGCCACCGTGCCTGGCCCTGGTTTTTTTGTTTGTTTGTTTTTGTTTTGTTTTTGTTTTCTTTTTGAGACAAGATCTCACTCTGTTAACAGTCCAGGCTGTAGTGCAGTGGCATGATCTCAGGTCACTGCAACCTCCACCTCCCAGGCTCAAGCCATTCTTCCACCTCAGCCTTCCAAGTAGCTGGGACCACAGGCACATGCCACCAGCAGTCCTGACTGGTTTCGTGGAAGACAATTTTTCCACAGACAGGGTCAGGGGCAGTGTTTATGGCATGACACTGTTCCACTTCAGATCATCAGGCATTAGATTCTCATAAAGAGTGTGAAACCTAGATCCCTCACGGTGCAGTTCACATTGGGGTTCAGGCTCCTATGAGAATCTAATGCCTGATCTGATGGGAGGTGGAGTTCAGACGGTAGCCTTCACTGCCCACCACTCATCTCCTGCTGCACAGCCTGGTTCCTAACAGGTCACCAACTGGTACAGTCCACAGCCTGGGGGTTATGGACACTCTAGCTGCACACCCCTACACCCGACTCATTTTTGAATTTTTAGTAGAGATGGGGTTTTGCCATGTTGCCCAGCCTAGTCTCGAAGTCTTGAGCTACCTGCTAGTACTACCTGCTACCTTCGAGCCTAGTCTCGAAGTCAT